TCATGTTTTTTATCAGATGAATGTATTATTGCGCATAACGAAAAAGCTTTCGAAATGTAGAAGATTGTTTGACGCAGGCAATTTCCAATATTTACAGCTGCTAAAATCCAATGAGCAATGCGCGTTTGGTGTCAGACCCGGCGTTTATGCAATTAGTGAGCAAAAGACAATACTCAGCAACGCGCAAGACCGGTCGAGGCAGAATAAGAATGCAACACTGCTCATTTCTACTTTCAACACCGTGAGCATTGGCAATACTTTATGCACTTTGAACGCGGAATCCACACTTAGAGCAGGGCTCTGCACAGCACAGGTGCGGTAAGGTGAGAATGACTTCTCCAGGGTGAAGGGGGTCACCGTGGTCGCAGTCCCTCCAGGGTGAAGGGTGTTCAGTTGATCGAGAAATCATAAAATGCCGACCGGGGGGGGGGGGGAGAGAGGAGAAGGTGATGGTGTTTTCTTGTTTTCCAAATAAAAGTTTATCATTTTGAATTCTCTGCCATCATTGGTTGTCTTTTTACCAAAATGTGAAGACTGATAAGATTGGAACAACCCTATATGTTTTTAAAAATACCGTAGAAGATGTATATGCGAGAGCATCTGTTTCGGGAAAGAGGTACAATTTTTCAGCATTTACGAACTTTTAGAAGAAGAAATTCGTAACTTCTGTAGATGAACAGCAACGTCAGCAATGAAAAGGTTTTACAACTATCTTGTCTTCCGCTTTTAGAGAATATATAGCTTGCCTGGAGTCTGTTGAAAAAATGTCTGGTGAAGAGTGTGGTAGTGATTTCTGGATATTTACGAGTAGAAAAATCCGTAACTTCTGTAGATGAACACCTTATACGCCGTAATGGTCACCTTTGGAACCGTCTCATCATCCGCTTTTAGAAAATATATACTATGTTTGGGATCGGTTGAAAAAAGTGCCTGGGTGAAGGGTGTCCTAGTGATTGCTGGAGATTTTCAAGTTTCTAACATAAAAAAGTTCATAACTTCTGAAGATGAACATCTTGTACGCCGAGATGGTCACCATTAGAAGCGCCTCGTCCTCCGCTTTTCTAAAATATATACTTTGGCTGGGGTCCATTAGAACAAATGCCGGGTGAAGGGTGGGTGAGACTTTTATAATGGGAGTGCTCAAGTACAGGCTTTTTTACCATTGTAAAAAGATGTCTACTTGAGCACTCCCATTATAAAAGTCTCACCCACCCTTCACCCGGCATTTGTTCTAATGGACCCCAGCCAAAATAAATATTTTCTGAAAGCGGAGGACGAGGCGCTTCTAATGGTGACCATCTCGGCGTACAAGATGTTCATCTTCAGAAGTTATGAACTTTTTTATGTTAGAAACTTGAAAATCTCCAGCAATCACTAGGACACCCTTCACCCAGGCACTGTTTTCAACCGATCCCTATCATAGTATGTATTTTCTGAAAGCGGAAAACGAGACGGTTCCAAGGGCGACCATATCGCCGTACAATATGTTCATCAGCAGAACTTATTAATTTTTTTATGTTAAAAAATCGAAAATCCTCACAAATCACTAAGCAAGCCGTTCACTGCACTTTCTTGAATGGATATCAGACGTTCTATATATTTGCTGAAAGCGGAGGACGAGACGGTTCCATTGGTGACCATCAAGGCGTAAAAGATATTCAACTGCAGAAGTTATGAATTTTTATATGTTAAAAACTCGAAAATCTCCAGAAATCATTACTTGCACCCGTCACTCCTCCTTTCCTATACATAAACAATTCACACGTACAAATATCTTCTCTGCCTAACCTTACCTCACTGTTGATTATTTTTCTCGGCTTTTGGTGAAGGGGGTCATCTTGGTCCCGGCTCAGGGGTGAAGGGAGGGTGAGAAAATTCTCACACTATCGCACCTATGCTGCACAGGTATTTTATGAGCAAGCTGGATATCGTTTTTGGGACAAAAAACAAAGGAAACATAGTTTTGTGGCCGAAAAACAGAACCTAATTTACGTCTTAGTTACCTTTCGTTTATTAAGGGGTTTTTTATGTCTATGGTTTGGGGTCAAAAGGGACTTCGTAAAATTTTGGAAAAATTGAGAGGGACTTTGTTTTTACATTCACGAAAGCCACCTCGTGCCGAGCTCTAATATGCAGACTCTAAGAGCCCTAAACGGTATGAGCTGCCCCTTCATTTGCGGTCTAGTAAAAACTCTTACCACCGCGGAAGCCTGGGACTTCACACCTGCCCGAACTATGTCTTTGAGGTTCTGTAAGGCTCAAAACTTTACGCGATTTGGCACTGCAGCGACTGCTCATACTCATAACTGGTGAAAAGCGCGCTCTGCTTGGACCTAACTTGATGCGGTTTACGACAACAACGGAAGCTACGCGTCTATGCATTTGAGAGCCACACACATTTAATCTGCAGCGCCAAGTCTCCTGGGCACTGCGATTTGACGAAATCGCAAGAAGTATGCCTTAGACCTAAAGCCTATAACATTTCTGTGCAGAGAGTACTAATGAGTTTCTTCTTACGCGCACGATCCTTCTTATAGCTTTCTCCATGTAGATGGCAGTGGAATACTGGGAACGTGTACTTTCTGCTTTGCATAAAGTAAGTAATAGCACATTTGCAGTACTCGTTATGCTCGTTGATGTATGGTTTATAATAGTTTCCTCCTAAATATGGTTTATTATACTTGTCCACAGGTGAGGTAAGTCGGCGATAGATGATTCGAGATGAGTTTTCTCTTCGAAGGGCACTAAAACAGTCCTGCGATACCGAATTCTTAAGAATGAATTGCAACGATTTTTTTATCAAACAACTTGTGGCAAAACCCAAAAAGTGTTGAGCTTTCGAAACTTTTACTTTCTGAGGAGGTTGCTGCATGTTGCCAACGTATCAGCCCGCTTGCTCAAAATTCGCATGGCCGCCTGCCCGCGGCGATTATCTGAGGTCAACACGCTCATTACCGGCAACACAATCACACGACAACACTTGCAAACTCTAACCGATTCCTTATTTATGCTGGAAAGAATTCAACCTTGCCTAGACCGGACCCTCTTCAGTACAGTACGCCAAAGAAGTGGTCTGGTTCAAAGTCTGAAGTTAGAACACTAGCCACATATGAATCGTATGAGCTGCGATTCGGAACTGGCCACTCAAATGAAATCTGCATAGCAAACTTTATTTTGAGCATGCCTTCAATATTGAGTGCCGTCAAATGCCATCTAGAAGTTTGAGATCCTCCGTCACTGTGAACAAAGCGCTGATTTAGCAGGACAAGCTTTATCGTCGACACACCGTCCAAGTTCTAGCAAGATTGAGTTCTACTCTCACCATGCAGCGAGTAAAACCAACGGGATGCACTGTCCATCCAACACTTCGAATAATGGTCGGCATCGTCACAATTGCTGTTATTCTAATGGTTCTGAGTGTTGAAGAAACACCTGCACAGCAATTACCGTCTTCTATCTACAACGGCCTGACTGACCTTGGCGGTTATGTCAAAAAGCTAAGCAGGATAGAAACAGGTATCCAGTTTTCATAGTGAAAAGAGCGAATTAACTGCCAAAACATAGGGGTAAGAAGTGCTTGGGTGCGAGACTACTACTCAAGACAGGCATTAGAAAGAATTACGAATTTGCGATCCGCGTGGAATGCTTCCAATCATTTCGTACTTTACGATGTCATCGTTCCTGAAGTTTAGTTTTGCACTTTGATCACAGGACCTTTCCCAACGCTGCTTCAGGTGCAATGTCCTAATCTGGTCAGAGTTGGATCAGTGGTGGATGGCGGCAAATACGTATGTAATCCGCAAGCGATCGACACTCAAAAGTGCAGGTAAGCAAACCATTCACCGAATTCTTAATCGAATGCCTTGCTTCAACCTTAGAATATATTCGCTTGGACTCATGAATGAAATATCTTTTGATGTGGAGATACAGAACATAACAGGCAATACCTGCAAGATCTATGGATATGATCAGGTTTGATCAGCTCTTTGTCAGCTGTACAAGAAACTTTCGCCTATCCTGTGAATTTCCTTCACTCTATAGTCTATTCTGCTTTCCAAAAACTTTTGCGTAATCCCGTATTTTTTCTGAAACCTCTCCACTACTTTCTACTTATTTTTCACCATCCGGAGTAGGGTCAAGTCAGAGAAGAGGACAAGAGGCGTTTCTGACAGATTGAAATTACGCCATTTGTTCAATCTTATATATAAAGCTGAATGTCTGTTTGTCTGTCTGTATGTAAGTCCGTATAGAAATTTTTATTTTCAAACCGATCCGGACCAAACTTGGCACACAACACTTCGTGGCGGGGCAGATCTCGCAGGCTACTTTTCGTCGTTGATCCATGTCGATTTTATCGAATTTTATCGATTTTTTGTAACTGCGGGACTGGGAGTTTGCATGGGGGAGGGGGGGGGGGGGGGGTAATCGAGCATGCTCATTGCGAATACTATACTAGTTTCCAAAGTTATCCGTTACGTTCATCGATTTTATCGATTTTTTGCAAAGTTTGAGCTAGGGGGCTGATTTTGGGGGTAGTGGAGTAGGGGTGGGGTAAGTGAGCATGCTGATAACTAATTACAGCGGGAATAGGGGATTGGCATGTAGAAGTGGGCACAGGGAAAGGTTGTACAGGGATAGGGATAAGACCTTTATCATAGTGTTTTGACAGGGCCGGGCGGAGCCGGGTAAGCCAGTTAATTCGTTATAAAATGCATGGTACAACTATCTTTCCTTCTCGTGCATCTTTCAAAGGAACTCGAAAGAATGAACGCGAACAAAACTTTGGAGATTTTTGCCAGCGCAAAATGCCAACTTCAATTACGAATTCATTTATTGCACTCATCCTCCCAGTTCTTTTTTGTGCAAATTCATCGTTTGACGTATAGGCTGTTTTTTATTGTAGCAATTTTGTCGAAAGAAAAAACTATTCTTCTTTAGCATGAGCAATCAAAAGGAATAAAGGATGCATATTCACGTATGAATGGAAAACTCAAAGCAGTCTTTATCAGCAACGAAAAAGGAAAAAGGATTCGTGAGATTACTTTAGTAACGCCTTCGCTGTAATCTTGCTGTATATACAGAAGATTTCTTTGACGAGAATGGAGATAATTTCGCTGATATTTTGAAAATTGACATAGAAGGTGCTGAACACAACGTATTGATACCATTCCTTTCTGATGAGAAGTACAAAGTTTGTCAGGTGATTCAGTGAAACGTGCTGCTCTTATGACATAAATTTGTATTTCCAGGTATTGATTGAGATACACGGTCAGGGCAATTCGCAACTCCATCTTCTTGTATCAATAGCTAAGTAAGAAAACTGGGCTTAGAAGGCTAAGGACGAAGTGTTTTTTTTGGGTTTAGGCAAGGATATGCACTTTTTTCCTACGAAGTAAACGGTTGGACGATGGCTGCATGCGAATACAGCTTTATTCATATGTCTTGCCTGAAGCAATATGGAGCTGTTGAACTAAAAAGATATCTCCCACCAGTTAAATAACTCTCTAATGGCGAAGAGATGAAGTGTGATTGTTGCGCGTTAGCCTTTGAATCTGACTACCTGTGACTCTACTTCCTCCTATAGAATATAGTTGACTGCACGGAATCGCCCGCGCGCGTGTCTCCTGCGGTCTAACGTTGGCATCCGCGCGCATGAGTCATCATAGCGCCCGTACCTCGGCAGCCGCGATGCAGACACGCACGAGTGCGTTCAGCCTACATCAACCCGGGCGATTTCGTGCAAGCGACCTTACCTACTATGTGCAAATTATTGTGTATACCGTACTGATTCCACTTGCACGATGTAATTATGCTGACAATGAGTTCTCCTCAAACATTCATTCTTTCTATATTTTCTCTTTTATTTTTAAATTTCATTTAAAATGCAATCATTCGCTTTTGAATCATTTTCATTAGTTCATTCAATCCGAATTCATTGAAAAATTTCACCCATAAACACCTAATTCCTCCTCAACGGGGCTTGGCACAAGCTGATTCTAGAGTGTTTTGTAACGAGGTCTCTTTGTGATTCCGCAAAATAGAGAAGACTCCGTCAAAAAATTTACTGAATCTCCTCTGATCTTTCTCGAACTCCGTCACTACTTTTTAAGGTGAATTCCAAGGCAGAAACCAAATGAACGATTAAAGTGTAGCTCAAGGAAGAAGAACAAGCATTGATGAACACCGAGAAAAAAATGGAAAGCGGGCATTCGCGCGTTGATTTACCCAGGAGCGTGTTTTGCGATTCAGCGAAACTTCTAGAAATTGTAAATGAGCCTAGAACAACGATCATGAACTCTGTATTGTATAGAGACTTTGAATACGTTGTGATTATGATGTTACACTTAATTTAAGACAGAAATAATGTATAAAAAGTGATGTAAATTTTGGACGATTGTACTCGGGTTCAAAAGCCAGTCTGATACTACCACGGCAGCAGAAAATCGTAACGAAATTACAGCATTCAAAGTTGATCATCCCTTGCCGATTATCTGCAACTCATGAGAATTTGCTTGAGCAAAAAGGGGTCCTGCTCAGCTAGTATCAGGCTGGGACGTTTCCAGCTAATTCAGAAAAACATTTGACATGGTCTTCATTCACATGAACACAAATTTCAGCCACTGTGCGAGTTGCTTCACACGCATGTGCACATTTGCTCAGAGATCATTATTTGTAAAAAAGAAGCTTCTCTTGCCATTTCGCGTTGTGCGATTGTGCTGTAAATAATGGCCTCTGTCTCGAATTTGCAGTGCGTTTGACGGGGCCAGAGCCGCGTAGTGCAGTCACACATCTACGCGCGAGCGTTACCGTGGGCGCAGCGTGCAGGAACCATGCTGCGCACAACATCGCGGGCCTTCCTTTTATCGTTGTGTCCCGTAATTTTTCCGTTTTTGCTGCGACTGAATGTCATTTTTCTTGCTTTTACGCTCATATGCGATATGTCTTGATACCGGATATGGTTTTTTTTCGCAGGTAAGGAAGGAGGTATCAATTTCTTGAGCGCTTTTCTTCATGACATCTTTCACTTCATCCAAGCCTTCCTCGGAAGGCTGATTCCGGATGTCATGATTTATACATCGACTCGTGTTCCAACGGACGTAATCGCATATCGTTTAGGTTTGACTGAACAGCGCCAATGAGCTGTTCTCTCAAACTGTTCTCTCAACCTACACGATACAAGATTACACCTTACGATATAACCTTCAGCTGTAAGGAGGAAGAGCACAAGTCGTTTTCAGAATTTCAAATGAAATGATGAAATTACATTTTCTTTGAAAGACCTCGAACCTCCATTTTGTCTTCCATCGCGCGGTGATACTTTAGGAGATTTTAGAAGGAGCACCGAAGTAGAGTTTTAGACAGGATGTTCAGAAATTTGGAAGCAGAACAGCGAATAAGATAAGAAAGAAGAAGGAAGAGTAGCTAAATCAAGGACCACTCGGCTCTGCGCGGCAGGGTCCCTGCACGCTGCAGCCCACGGTAGCGCTCGCGCGCAGGTATGTGACTGTACTATGCGGCGCTGGCCCCGTCGAACGCATTGTACATAGTGAGAATCTCTGACGTAAAATTTCTACCCAAACTCGAATGTGATGTATTTTCCTGCGAGGGTGTCCTCTCCCTGCCCCGCACGATGTCCTCTTCACTTTCTCACAAAAACGACCATCCAGCTTGACCCTGTACAAGATGTGCGTTGCTTACACCTTATTCATATTCAAGCCTTAATTCATTAGTTCAAAACATTCATCCTTCATTCATTCATTCATTCATTCATTCATTCAGTCATTCATTCAGTCATTCATTCATCATATCATTCTCTCATTCATTTATTTATTCATTAATTCATCTGGTCATTCATTCATTCATTCATTCATTCATTCATTCATTCATCCTATCATTCACTCATTCATTCGTTCATTCATTCATTCATTCATTCATTCATTCATTCATTCATTCATTCATTCATTCATTCATTCATTCATTCATTCATTCATTCATTCATTCATTCATTCATTCATTCATTCATTCATTCATTCATTCATTCATTCATTCATTCATTCATTCATTCATTCATTCATTCATTCATTCATTCATTCATTCATTCATTCATTCATTCATTCATTCATTCATTCATTCATTCATTCATTCATTCATTCATTCATTCATTCATTCATTCATTCATTCATTCATTCATTCATTCATTCATTCATTCATTCATTCATTCATTCATTCATTCATTCATTCATTCATTCATTCATTCATTCATTCATTCATTCATTCATTCATTCATTCATTCATTCATTCATTCATTCATTCATTCATTCATTCATTCATTCATTCATTCATTCATTCATTCATTCATTCATTCATTCCTCGCACCTTCACCCTCTATCTTTTTTCTGTCCCTCCAAGTTGCTTTTAGAGTGAGGAAGATCCGTGCCAGGAAATCAGGCCTAGCATAAACAATGCAGAGAGCTTTGTGGAAACTCGTAAATATTTTGTTTGTATGCACAAACCAATTAGTGTTACGAAAACATGTGGAGTCCACATTGCAGACACAGAATGGTTCTACTCCAATTTCCATGCAATAGCTGTGCCAAATTTCATTGCAAGAAATATTCAGGGTAGGACAGAAATATAGTCAGAAAAGAATTTTGAGGCTTGGCAATCCAATCAAAAAATTTGCGTGTCAAAACGCATTATGTGGTCAATACAGTATAAAGTCAAGTCATTGCATATTACCATGTGCGTATTGCACACAACGTCCATCTCCCATTTTGGATTTTCAACCGCAGAAACGTAACTGACCGATTTTTATCGGTTGTATCACTTTAAAAAGATTGGTACCAAGAAAAGGAGAGAAAACATAGGAAAAACACCCAAAATACCTGAAGAGTGTCCACTCTACTCTATATCTGTGCTTTAACAATAAATGATGAAGGATATGTGTTTCGCGTATTTTTAATCTGAGTGGCTGAAGTAAGAGTAAGACTCAAAAGAAGCAGGATTTATTGTTAAAAATTCTGTATAGCAACGCAAAAGTCCATTTAAAGCCCTCGGCAAGTGCTGTAGTTGAAGTTCTCGGGAAGTTCCCGTTTTTGGGGAAGTTCCCGAGAGCTTATTTGCAGAATTTCCCGACGGCATTATGGGAACTTTACGAGATGAACTGCGGAAAGTTTCCCCAAAGCCCTCGGCAAGTTCCCGTTAATTGTTTGAAAAGAAAAGAGGATGGGGGCGCCAAAGGTGGGCAGAGTGTGCAATGACACACATGATCATATGAAATGACTCGAATGTAATCAACTCCTTTCAATGCTGCGGAAAAACTTCTTATGTGATGTACTTGGGCTTTTTTAGCTTATTTCCCGTTCATTCTTTCGTAAAACAATATTTTGCTTTATTCTTTTGAAAGATCCCATGATAATGATTCAGATGATCAATAAAAGAATACAACACATAAACAACACGTCACATTGACATCAAATATCATACAGAATTCAAGCGCAACATTATGAATAAAGTTTAGACCATTTGTTGAGTAATTGTGGGAGGATCATTATGTTGAGATTATTATTATCAACCGATGGTGTGTAGTCGTTGATGAGCAGATACGGCACCTGCAAAAACGCGAATTTTTCGAATATTTTTTATTTAGAAAATCGTGCCAAGTACAAGCCTTAAAGCTTTGTCCCGCCGCATATACACTTTACACTTTTTGCCAAGAGCAAAGCAAAAAACATCTGTGGTTCATATGACTTGGCCTTTGTAAATATGAGAGTTTTGTTTACGCACTGAACTGACCGCCGCGGACTTTTTTCCACTTTGAAAAATTCGGCCAAAAAGTTCCAGTTTTCAGTTTTTACTGTTTGAACAGGATAAAACATAGTAGCCTGGTGTTTGAATTTGTTTAAAATCTTGCAAATCTCCAAAAGAGAACTGCCTCAACCAGAAATCAGCAATAAAGTCCACAGCATGAAGAATGGTCTCCTAAAGCTAGACGCAGGGAAATCTTATCTATTAGCTCAGAATTAGTTTTGTTTTTGATATGGTAGTAACCACATTAGGTTGTCTCAAAAAGTAAACTTTTAAATCAAGATGTTTTTCATCTTTAGGGTAATATTCGTTAGAGAAGCAAGCTCAACAAAATGACCACCAAAGATCCACTGAAGTCGTCATCCAAATGAAGTTTGAAGCCAAAATCGAAAAAAAATATATCACTTCAAAATTAAATTGCGAAAAAATTACTACGAGTCTCCAACTTGGTCGTTATACAGTAGACGCACGGTAGTACACGAGTATGCCATTACTGGATTATTTTCGCACGTGAAAACGAGACAAAAGGTATTATCGAAAAATGGCAAACTCCGCCCCAGCTCCTCCCACTTAGGTCACTGTAGACAAAAAGCCTTAGAAGTAAAACCTTAAATTTTATTTTGTATAAGCCCTGGTAAACAAGAATATCAAGCAACATAATACCCGAAAAAAAGTGACATTCTTGAATTTTAGGACCATATTAGTTTCTCAATTTTGAGCTCCGGAAAAAATCCCCCAAATACATATACTACCTTCCTATAATGACCAAACTGGAAGTTCGTAGAAATCTTCTGGAGAGATCAGCTATTTAGGGTAGTGAAAAATTTTGATTTTTGGCTCCAAATCTTGCTGTTATGACTTACAACTTATTCACTTACTATTTGTTAGACAGATCTTTGGCATCATTTCGTAGAGCTTGCTTCGCTCTATCGAATAATACCCTAAATCTGCTAGGAAAACAAAAACCTTGATCTATCGAGAAAAGGAGTTGATTTGAGGCAACCTTATTCTGACATCATAGGAACTTTTCATTTAAAGCGTAAAATTTAATTAAAAGAAAATCAATGAAGTACGCTATGAAATTAGTAACTATTCCGCAAAATCACATGTGGACGGGAAGAGCAAGTATTGAAAAAAAATTCTATAGAGATGGATTCTTTAATTATATTGTAGCAAAGAAAAGTTTCATTGATTTAGGTAGGTTTGAACCATACAAACAAACAACAGCTTTCACGACGAGAACTGGTCCCCAACAATGACATGAACGGTTTTGCTGACGGGGACCAGTTCTCGCCGAAGTGGAAAAATATAGCCCAAAAGATTTCTGAAGGATAAAATTTGCTTTTTTAGTCTCCCTCCAAAAAATATGTAATGTGCTCTACTTTCAAATTTATTTCATATTTTTCAATGAAAACTGGTTTATCACCTTGAAAAATTCATTCTAATTTGTGACTCTCCCCCTCCCCTCTAAAGCCTGCTTTATTGAAGATAAATTTTTGAATATAATTTCCTTCCTCACCTCTACGATTGGATGCGGCTTTGTGCTCATAGTTCTATGAGCAGCTATCCGTTGCAACTGTGTACCACGTTCTCCATCGTAGCACAGTCTGAAAAGGCAGGATTTTCAGATTTTATAGTAAAAGACGTCATTAGTACTCACCGAATTTGTCGATATTGGCTGCGAATAAATGCGGAACAAGCGTGCATTGCCTGATCGACGCTGTTGTGATGTATAACCCTCTCGAAACAGACGATGAACGGCAAAGCGCCGGAAGACTAAAAAATTGTTGATTGTAAAAATTATAGGGGGAGGTGGATAAGACTTTGAATTTTACCTTGAATATGTCAATCACACAGGACTGCAGCCTGTTAGCATCACATTCTTTCTTGCCATGGTTGCATGAGAATGAGCCATCCTAAAGCATAAAATTTATTGTAAAAGCAAAAAATTTCTTAAAAACGATCTGACCCTTGCATTTTATTGTAAGAATTTGAATTGAATATCGTATATGCTTGATTTAGCTTCTCTTATGACAAGGTGACATAGGAAAAGCTAATTCAATATTCAGTACCACTGTTTGATTTTTTCAACAAATTTGGCTCTAAATACGCAAAAGGAAGGAAAAGGACTTCCCATTACCATTATGTTGGTGAATCTGATTACGACAATCAAAATTTCATCGATTTCACATAATTTATTTCGATAAAAAGTGCTAATCAGTGTTCGCTCACGCTTCTTTTCGAGAGTTTTCCCTATGACTAAAATTTGCAAACATCAGAACCTCAAAAATTCAAAAACCTATTCATTTTTGTTTTCACGTCTTTTAAGTACGAAAAGAAATTCCACAAGAAAAGTTTTATGACATCTGAAGCATTAAAGCTTACATCTCACTTCACTAGTTCCTAAAAATTTTAGTTCTCTTGTTGATGGTCTGAAAAAATAAGGAAGGAATTTGCCAAAACTTTGTTTTCAGATGACATTTGTCGGAACGAATTCTATCAGAATTATCTATTCAAATATCAATATTTGAGTTTAGTTTTGAGTCCAATCCCATGTTGTGTTTGGTAAATAAAATAGTAAACAACTTTTGAGCCTGGTCAACGTACATGCGACACCCACAAAAGAATAGGGAATGGAGAATTATCTATTTGGAGGATTTTCATCTCGTTTTTTTCCAATTTTTCACAAGTGCTCAGAAACGAAGAAAAACTACCATCCTCTTCCGTTCCGCATAGCAATAAATTGGTTTCCGACAGCGTACACGCTGTAATGAGAGTCGAGCAGCTTCGATTGTGCTGCCATATGTCGTAGTTTGAATGGTGAAAAAAGAAGATTACATGACAGGTGAGTACATACTGATTTCACTATGAGATTGATTTATGTAACATTATAATAATAAAAATAGCGCACATTTCAAAGCTTAAAGGCAGCGTCCGGGCAAAAACTCGATTTTGAGATTTTGTGCTTATACGGGCCTATTTGCCATGCTGAATCCGAAAATCCACATTGGAAAGCACGAAAACGGCGAAAAAGGGCTCTAACACAGGAGGGAAAGTAGTAGGTGGGCGGGGTCTTCCCCACTGTGAGTTCACGCTTCCAGCTTCCAGAACAACTTTCTCGAATCCGTTAGCCGCCCTGACATCACTACCGATCAAGTGCAAACGAATGACTTGAAAGAATCAGAAAGATCGCCCCCGAAGCTGGGAGCGTGAATTCACAGTGGGGAAGACCCCGCCCACTTCCTGGTATCCCTACAGTGTTAGAGCCCTTTTTCGTAGTTTTCGCCCTTTCCAATGTGGATTTTCGGATTCAGCATAGCGAATAGGCCCGGATAAGCACAAAATCTCAAAACCGAGTCTTTGCCCGGACACTGCCTTTGATACAAAGGATGAGAATAATCCGAGGGTCTAGATGGTCTATAACTTTGTGCAGTTCACAAAAAAGTTGGACCAATCAGAGGTGACCTTGTGACTGTCGCGCTACCGTAATCGGGTGTACCGTAGTATGGTAAATGGTTGATTGCCAGCCTTATTGCCGCATAACAATTCAACTAATTTTCTTACTAACCACTGCTAGGCTGTTTTTGTTATTTTGATTTACCACAACAAGGTTGGTCAAATGGTCTCGCCAAATCTTTCCTCCCCCCCCCCTTATTTCTCTCAGCTAACCCGCTCGTTCTTCTATAGGCTGTGGATATACCCTTTGATTCAACTGACATGGCGGCTGGAAGGCGGGGGTTTCGTGACCTAATTAAGGATTGCTAATAATAAGAGAGCACGCTTTGCTGCAGAGACGCAGACTGCGTCGCGAACTCGAACGGCATCAATTAGGTCACAAAGCCTGCCTTCCAGCCGCCAAGCCAGTTAGATCAATAGTTAAATGATTGTGCTACAAAGCCAATTTTGTTTTCTTTCAAATAATCGAAAATGAATATTCCATGTTAAATTAACGATAAATAAAGACATTTTCCTTGCAAAAGAAACTTGCAGCTGGTTTGCATGCATCAAAGAAAGAAGTTGATGTGCTCAAATATTGATATTTTTATATTCAAAAATTATGAACTTGAAAATGACGACTTTGATGAATTGTGCCTCTACAAAGATATATGTCGCAGCCTCTAATGCTATCACTACCAGAGTTCATCAGAGAACGGTTAAATCTGTTCAGCTTTTCGTGAAACGGATCTTTGTCTTTGTCTTTGTAGCTCCAAAGCCGATCCGCACAGGCAATCCATTTTGCCGAACGCCAGCATCGCAAAGAATTACTTCGCTAGTGACGAATTACATACAATCTGAGGTCAAGCTAGTGCAATTGTAAGTACTATTGCAGTTCTCGGCTATGAATCAAGTTCGAGAGGAATGCACTTGTAGAGATCTTGATGCATAGATCTGAACTAAACCCATGAAAATGTGACTTATGAATGCCGCCTTTGCATCGAAAAAATTTGCCTCGCATGCATGCTTAAATATTAATTAATTGAATTATTAATTATTTAACTTATTTACTTATTTATTGATTGACTGATTGATTTATCTATTTATTCAATCATTCATACACTCACAAGAGAGCGAAAACTCTGAGTGCGAAAATGAAAACTGCAGATTTTCTACTTTCTTATAAACCCCTACTTTGACAGTATAGCCTTCATTTGCTAAATACCGTAGTTATACAGCAGCACTACAGTACAGCCGCCACCCTGAGCCTCAATATATAAGGAGAATATACTTTGTTTAGAAATAAACTTACCTAGACCATACAGTTGCAGCGGTGGAATTTGTCCAAAACTGCGGGATTGTCGGGATTCGCGGGATTGTCGGGATTCGCGGGATTCGCGGGATTCGCGACTTCGCGGGATTTGCGGGATAAGCGGGATTTAGCTATAACTTCTTTTAGAATAGTTTTATTTGTAATCTGAGTGAGGATTTGGCTTCAGCTTGATGAGACGAATCTTTTGATATACGGTATGTCCGTAGTTCATAGTGACGGGGTAGACATACAATGATACCTTGTTGTTTTCTACGTTAGGGCTTTTGTGAACATTTATCACAGTGTAAATCGCGTATAGGAGGTTCTGGTACGAAGCTCTCGTTATCGAAAATTATCGCAAAAAATTGGGCAGTCTTTATCTACCCTTATCGCTGATATAAGCATTTTATCATTTATCGCTGATAATAACACATTTTTGGATCAATTTTTGCATATGGTAAGGAAAGTACTGTAGGAAAAGCTGTGTGAATTTCTATCGCTCTTTCTCTCATTATAAGTGATCTAGAGGCTTTTCTAGTTCTATTGCTCGGTGCAATTGGTAGATCCCTCGCTGCAGCAATCGATCGATTTTTCATCGGCACATGCCATTGCTGCCAGTTCTTACCTAGAATGGCATTTTTGCTTCAACTCGCTTCACGCCGAAGCCTGGGCTGAAATTCTGTACCTATATGGAAGATGAACGTGGAAATCGACCGCATGAATTTAAGCCATTCTTATCTGTCGTTGTCATTGATATCATCATTTTATCATTTATCACTGACGACACAAAATTGGATCATTTTTGATATACAATAAGAAATGTACTTTAGAAAACGCTGTGTGAGTTTTCATCGCTCTATCTCTTATAGCACAAAACCACTCACAGAACATGCAAAATTTCCGGGAATTCCGCGAAATTCATGTGAATCACGCAAATTACGCAGGGCCATAACTTTTTTCCGAATGAGTATATTCAAAATCCGAAAACAACGTTGTATTCAGCTCGTCAAGGCAAATCTTTTGATACACGATTGTCTCCAATATCTTGTTTTCAATAATCTTGAATTTGCATGCCGACGCCCCTTCGTATGGGTGTAACGCAACAAGCATCACACATAGGAGACTGCCATGGGCACCGTTCGATAGTACTCTTTCACTAGATTATCGTGCGCTAAACAGCAGCCGAAGACTCCCTTTCAAAAGAGATAGAAGAGCTGATAAACTCTGGAAAAAATTAAGCTATTCCAAGTTTTACTAGCCGTAACTTTCTTTAGAATGAACATTTTCGAAATCAGAAAGCAGATTTGTGTTCATCTTGTCAAGTCGAATCTTACTGTATACAGCATGTTCTTGAAGTTCCGTTTTCAATTTTTTCAAAATTCTCTGCGCGCGTATATTCACAAGGTCGCAACGCAGCGCACATCAAACATAAAAGACTCTATTAAGCACTGTTGGATTGTGCTGCTTCCGCAGATTATCGAGCGCTAAGAAGCAACCGGAGAATCTTTTTGAGAAAAGATAGAAGAGCTGGTGAATTCTGGAAAATCGTGTTGTCTCAAATTTTGCCCACAGTGACCCTAAAATGAGAAGCTCTACTGCTAAGCAGATGTGACTTTCGTAATCAGCAGGTCAGACAACCTCTATGAGCAAGTTTTCAAAGAAATTTGGGTGATTCGATTTTTTCTCGTTCTACGCCCTGAAGCTCGCCGGATGGGTTTTGGTCAAAATGTCGATGACCTTGGATTGTAAAGAAACTTTGCCCAAAGAGGTTTTCGAAACGCTGTTTACGAAAATAGTGGTCTTTGAAGAAGACAGGGTCTTTTTGTAGAGATATTGTGAGGTGACTGTCACTGAGTCACGAAAGTTCGTAAATTTGCCTGCACTTTTCGCGAATTTGTCAGAAAACTAGCCTGCTTGCTTTTCCAAGTCAAAATCACTGGGAACTCTGCTATCAAAAGGTGCATGCTCAGGCTCCAGTCTATAAAGTTCGCCGAGTTACGAGCCTACGAAAAGACGTCCTCATAATTTTCGCTCAAAATGTAAAAATCGCGTATTTCGTCGAAATTCCTCCCTCAATGGTAGTATGACATACTGATCAAATCTGTTCACATTGGTTAATGGTCTTAATGTGCTGGTTCTGGAAATTAGGTAGATCTGAGCTCAAGCTACGAAGGTGCTTGTGTCGAGACGCAGACTAATTAGAGAGTCCGACAGTCCCCTCGCCGACTGGGCGGTGCCACCAACTTCGGATAAGCTGGCACTCCCCGGGTGCTCGGTGGTCCCCTCCCCAATTATGTTCCCTCATATTTATATTTATGTTATAACGATAAAATAATCTAGTCAGAACTGTTATGTTGTTACAAAGGAAAGAAACTAAGGGTAGAGGGATCAAGTTAAGAGAATAGCTAACTCTTCAGACTTGACACCTGGATATTCAAATGAGCAGCTGAAGAACGCGCGACCACCATATTCAACTCAATGGGATCCCTTAGCCCGGGCAGACTTCACGCGATTTGATCGTCGCGACTGAATCGCGACTAGACAACTGTTACAACATCATTTCATGTCGATAAACTTGCATTCGGTTGTGATACTTTTCCAGCCCGAAATTTTTGAATGTGAAATGAAAATGAATGGAAATCTTGGCGATTTGGTCGCGACGATTAAGTTGCGTGAAGTCTGACCGGGCCTTAGGCGAAGTGAGCATATGCAATCAGTATGTCATACTACCATTGAGGGAGGAATTTCGACGAAATACGCGATTTTTACATTTTGAGCGAAAATTATGAGGACGTCTTTTCGTAGGCTCGTAACTCGGCGAACTTTATAGACTGGAGCCTGAGCATGCACCTTTTGATAGCAGAGTTCCCAGTGATTTTGACTTGGAAAAGCAAGCAGGCTAGTTTTCTGACAAATTCGCGAAAAGTGCAGGCAAATTTACGAACTTTCGTGACTCAGTGACAGTCACCTCACAATATCTCTACAAAAAGACCCTGTCTTCTTCAAAGACCACTATTTTCGTAAACAGCGTTTCGAAAACCTCTTTGGGCAAAGTTTCTTTACAATCCAAGGTCATCGACATTTTGACCAAAACCCATCCGGCGAGCTTCAGGGCGTAGAACGAGAAAAAATCGAATCACCCAAATTTCTTTGAAAACTTGCTCATAGAGGTTGTCTGACCTGCTGATTACGAAAGTCACATCTGCTTAGCAGTAGAGCTTCTCATTTTAGGGTCACTGTGGGCAAAATTTGAGACAACACGATTTTCCAGAATTCACCAGCTCTTCTATCTTTTCTCAAAAAGATTCTCCGGTTGCTTCTTAGCGCTCGATAATCTGCGGAAGCAGCACAATCCAACAGTGCTTAATAGAGTCTTTTATGTTTGATGTGCGCTGCGTTGCGACCTTGTGAATATACGCGCGCAGAGAATTTTGAAAAAATTGAAAACGGAACTTCAAGAACATGCTGTATACAGTAAGATTCGACTTGACAAGATGAACACAAATCTGCTTTCTGATTTCGAAAATGTTCATTCTAAAGAAAGTTACGGCTAGTAAAACTTGGAATAGCTTAATTTTTTCCAGAGTTTATCAGCTCTTCTATCTCTTTTGAAAGGGAGTCTTCGGCTGCTGTTTAGCGCACGATAATCTAGTGAAAGAGTACTATCGAACGGTGCCCATGGCAGTCTCCTATGTGTGATGCTTGTTGCGTTACACCCATACGAAGGGGCGTCGGCATGCAAATTCAAGATTATTGAAAACAAGATATTGGAGACAATCGTGTATCAAAAGATTTGCCTTGACGAGCTGAATACAACGTTGTTTTCGGATTTTGAATATACTCATTCGGAAAAAAGTTATGGCCCTGCGTAATTTGCGTGATTCACATGAATTTCGCGGAATTCCCGGAAATTTTGCATGTTCTGTGAGTGGTTTTGTGCTATAAGAGATAGAGCGATGAAAACTCACACAGCGTTTTCTAAAGTACATTTCTTATTGTATATCAAAAATGATCCAATTTTGTGTCGTCAGTGATAAATGATAAAATGATGATATCAATGACAACGACAGATAAGAATGGCTTAAATTCATGCGGTCGATTTCCACGTTCATCTTCCATATAGGTACAGAATTTCAGCCCAGGCTTCGGCGTGAAGCGAGTTGAAGCAAAAATGCCATTCTAGGTAAGAACTGGCAGCAATGGCATGTGCCGATGAAAAATCGATCGATTGCTGCAGCGAGGGATCTACCAATTGCACCGAGCAATAGAACTAGAAAAGCCTCTAGATCACTTATAATGAGAGAAAGAGCGATAGAAATTCACACAGCTTTTCCTACAGTACTTTCCTTACCATATGCAAAAATTGATCCAAAAATGTGTTATTATCAGCGATAAATGATAAAATGCTTATATCAGCGATAAGGGTAGATAAAGACTGCCCAATTTTTTGCGATAATTTTCGATAACGAGAGCTTCGTACCAGAACCTCCTATACGCGATTTACACTGTGATAAATGTTCACAAAAGCCTTAACGTAGAAAACAACAAGGTATCATTGTATGTCTACCCCGTCACTATGAACTATGGACATACCGTTTATCAAAAGATTCGTCTCATCAAGCTGAAGCCAAATCTTCACTCAGATTACAAATAAAGCTATTCCCGCTTATCCCGCAAATCCCGCGAATCCCGCAAATCCCGCGAAGTCGCGAATCCCGCGAATCCCGCGAATCCCGACAATCCCGCGAATCCCGACAATCCCGCAGTTTTGGACAAATTCCACCGCTGCAACTGTATGCAAAGCTTTCGCCTACATCTATGTACCGCAAAAAGTTGCTACGTAACCTTATAATAGAAATATAGTACTGTTGTTTTGGCTGCATGCTGAGTTGCTACCGTAATCCTACAATGAATCACAGTACCTGAGTTGGCTGCATGCCACGTTCCTGGTCTTGAAAGAACTTCACAATATTTCTATGTATCACTTATTATGCGACCTCGACCACTTTATCTAATCTTTCACTGCAAGGTAGATGCGATCTTGATCTGAGCTATCCTTTGATTCAACCAACTTGGCGGCTAGAAGGCGGGAGAGTTCGTGACCCAGCTAAGGCCACAGTAATGATCGGAGAGCACGCGCGCGAGAGACGCAGAGCGGCTTAATTAGGTCACAAAACCCCGCCTTCCAAGCCAGTTAAATCAAAGGTATTGGTTTTTTGCAAGACATACCGTAATCTTACAGTAATATTACTGTGGCACATTATAATGGTTCCCTGATGGTGACTATAATAGCCTTACTTTGGTTAAAAATAATGTGCTTTACGATTATGATTTCGGTAAAGAAATGTACTATATGTTTACAACCCCAAAAACTCTATAAAATTTAGAGCTCACTAAGCTCTGGTCACTGGTCCCGAATATCGCCTACGATTACGACAATGGCATAAGTTCCACGTTATGCGGCTCGGACCAGAGCAAAGGAATCGAACAGCAGTTTTTTCCATCTTGTTCCGCTCATCGCACAGGACAAAATGTCAGCGATCGCCATAGGTCAGCTGTCTGCCTACGGGGATTAATTGAGCCCCAACGACGCGTTGCGAATGTAGAGCCAGAAAGCTACGAATGTACAATATAGGAAGCTGGGAAAACTTACCCGCAATATTCTGGAGTTACCCCATGGTATGAGTTCCAGTTCCATTTGGCTTTTGTATTGTTGATACATGCTGCCGAGTTGATTGGAGATAAATCTAAAAGTACCAAGAATTCGCATAATTTCTAAAATCGTAACGCCAATTCAAAAAACATCAGATAGCGGAAACCCTAAGCGCGCGGATGCAAATCTATCATCTTTAGGACTATTGGACCACCGGTATAAGGCAAAAAATCCTATCATAAAAGCCTAAAAATTCCAAATTTCATTTAAACTTTATTTTTGATCGAAAAAAAATTTTTTCAAGTTAAGCTTCATTTAAAATCCAGAATTCATCCAAAAATTCTTAGAATGACTCCAAGATTTTTGTGAGCCCATAGCATCGAAATTTTAGATTAAGGGGGCGGGACGGGAGCCTATTCCGCAAAAAAATTTACTAGGCAATTCGAATCAGAATTGAATTTTGAAATTTTTGAAAAATTCTAAAAATTATTTTAAATTACAGGTATAAACAAGTATTTGCACATTATTATAACTCGAGTAAGTCATTTTCTATGAAAAAAGTGCAAGAAATTCGAAAGTTTTTTACAACAATTATAGACACTATTGACCAATATGAATGTGAAACATAATGTTGCAAATGCAAAAGTTCATATGCACTTGAAGTCATATATAGTGAAGTGCAAAGAGATTTTCTCTAAAAATGGCTTTTTTATGCGCCTGACTTGTCGCATGATTCTTCGAGCGTACCCCTGGCACAAGGTGGTGCAGAGCTTCACATAACAAACTTTGTCAAAACTTTTGGCGATGGGGGGGGGGCAAAAAAAACTTTGAAAGCACAAGAATGTGACTCACTTTTGACAATAAGGACATAATGCTTCGTAGATCAAAGTGATCTTTATAGGACGTCTTTTATGGAATCGTAACGCATCACATTGTCGTTGAACACCACATTGTTGTGCCGATTGTGGACTATCGCACCTGGAAGAGAGAAAAATCTCGGAAAAACATTTTGAATAGAGCGCAAGTGGACCATATGGTGCAATTGCACACTTTTTCCTCCACTTTCCCATAACTTGCAATTTTTCTATTTTGCAGCAAACAATATGATTTATTGTATAGTTTCTTTATATAAAACATAGTCGCTGCTTTGTGTGATTGTGTGAAAGCTGAGAATTTCTTTTTTCTCAGCGAGACACTAGTAGGAGGCTACTAGTTCCCCATTTTTCATTTTGCAACGGCTTGCAGGCGAGGCGCAAGAAGAACTATAGTGCAAAATCTTTGTTTGATGCTCTGTGTAATCAAATCTGCCGATAAAATAAAACATTTCGAAAAGATGCTATAAATAGCATTATTTTGACCTATTTCTTATTGTCAGTAATTCCTGCATGCAATCAACATATGATAGTGGTGTTCCAGAATTTTCTTTTTGGGATGCTCCCCAAAATTGTTGAACCATTACCCCGAAAATTTGGAAGAGGGCGTATATATTGGCGGTGAACCCTCGAACAATCTTTACAAGGACAATTTGAATTTTTGAAACAAAAAGTCATTTACAAATATAAACAAGTTGCTTGCATATTTTTATGAAAATTATCTACAAATATAAACAAGATACTTGCATATTTTTTTAGCTCACGTAAATTTTTGCGACCCATTCTTAGGGGGGGGGGGGGTTGAGCTATCGACACATACCTATGAAAGAACAATAATTTTCAAATCTGCTGTTGTTTGAAAATTCACAAAACCCAGATAGCTATTATTGAACGAAAAATCTAAATACGGATAATTTTTTCATCTTTATTCATGGAAAAGCAATTCTGTAGAATCTTTCTAAAAAAATCAATAAAATCACGGTACTTTCAGTTATCTATTTTTTGATTATGCAATTGTTTTGTAAGTTTTGTAGACTAGCAAAAATTGTGGAAGTTATGCATTGAGCTGCAGATTCTACTGCATTTAGCAATTATGAACTTAAGCAAGAACATAATATCTTTTTCTATGCAAAAACTTAATCCTGAGTATTGCATAAAATCTAAACAATTTTTTCCCAAGTTTGAGATATCTCGTATAGTGGAAATTTTATACTATGAACTAAATTTAGTAATTTGAGAAAAGCATGATTTGTAAAAAAGGACAAACTGCTCGAATTACTCCAAAGCACTAAAAGGTCTTTGAACATTAAGGTCACTAATTTTTAGCAATGATATGAGCGAATAAATTATTTTTTACTGAAATTGACTTCAGATGGGAATTTCCCCCAATTTTTGTTAATTTTCTGAAAGCAACTTTCGAAGCACGCGGGACTTGAAAAGTTGATCTCAGTTGGTACTTTCAGATCATTTTCCTTCATAAGATCCTTGCACTCAAAGTTCAAGCAAAGAGCTTGAAAATTTAACACTTGTTAGTTTTAAGAGTTCAAAAATTCAATCCTGAAAAAATATTGAAATCAGCCTAAAAATATTTTGAATGATCGCAGATTTTTCTCTTTTGTTAAGTACAAAAAATGCATAAATACATTTAGATTCAATGTCATTTCAGTGCACAATCTTGATCTATCTTCTTTATTTTTTATACTTCACCTCATTTTCGCTGACATTTTCTCTGTTTCATATTTTCCAAAAAAAGGAAATTTTAGAAGTTCATAACGAATTATTTTGACAGATTTCTCGTTTCAACGGATATCCAGCATTTGCAGGTGCTTCCAGACTGTTTCCGCTTGTTGAAAAACAGTGACAATGATATATGGCTAAAGCTTGGCTGCAAAGATTTAGTGCAGAGTGACGAAATTGCAGCAGATTGTTTGATATATATCAAATTAAAACGGGAAATTTTTCGTTAATGGAAGAAAGTATAAAATTGTAATAGTAGCAATTTGTGAAACAAAATTTTTCATCTGACTTTTCTTGAATAAAAGTGAAAAAACAACTCTTAAAAAATCTCTCGATAATTTTTTGATAAAACGGAAGAAATATACCAGCCATTGAAACAGGAACTTCTATGTTATAATGAAAGTAAAAAAATTATACAAACTCATTGGACAGAATCTTTCCATTATCAACCTTTTGATGAAAGTCGAAGAGCTCAGTTCTCGCAACAGTCTTTCAACCTTTCTAATGAAAATATATAATCCCTGAAACAGGAAGTTTTCAGATCATATTTTCGCAAAGAAAAACTACAAAGGAGAGATAATTTAATGAAACGAAAAAATATACCAGACATTGGAATAAGAACTCTAGTTTCTGTGAAAATGGAAACACACAAATTCTCAATTCTCAGAAAAAAAAACTGGTTAAAAAACTTTATTGCAGTAGGCGAATACATCAGTTCTTGAACGAAAGGTAAAAAATATACAACCCCTTGAAACAGGAAGTTTCCAGATAAGATTGTGAAAATTTGCACAAAAAAGAGTTTTCGGTCTAATTTTCCTAATTAAAAATTATTTGATGAAAGTCGAAAAAAATATCAATTTTTTAAACGATTTTTATTTTTTGATGAAAATAAAAAAATGTATAACTCCTGAAACAAGAAATTTTCAGATAGAATTTTATCAGTCAATACAAAGATTGTTTTTCGTCAATACAAAGATTGTTTTTCACTTGCCATTCTCAAAGAATTGTTTTTCTTTCCGAAAAACTCGAAAAATAAAAATAAGATTCTGAAAAATGTTCTAACCAGAGATCCGGAGGAATGTTGCAGTAGTTGTGAGTTGGTTGATTGGTGTAATGATGTGAAGGAGACGATGGATAATAGGTCTGGTAAGCTTTTACCGGGTAGGCGCCGAATTTCGTATGATAAGAATGACCATAGTGATTGTTGCGGTAGGAAGACTAAAAATAAAAAACTTTGAATTTGGGCCAGCTATGGCCAAAAAATCTAGAAAACTAACCACATAATCAAGGGATAGAATAAAAATAACAAAAATTGCGTATGAACTGTGCATAATTGCTCCTAATGGCAGGTATGTTTCTGGATGAAAGCACTGAGTGGGAAAGGGACGAGTTAAAGTGGCCGCGAATCTCCGGGCCCCGGGGGGAAGTGCAAAGCTGGGCCTCGGGCGACGACGACGTGAAGCAGGGCGTGCACAATGCACTCGCACTCAGCACTCTCACACACGTGCTGTGCTCGCCGGTGTGAACCCCTCGGACCACGACCACCCCCACCCCCGTCGTGCCACCACGCCCTTTCTTAACACCCGGCTATTTAGCTCTCTGGATTATTAGGATGGGATATAGAGATCAAAGGCTGGGATAGGAAATTGCGTGCTTAGAGGTGACTGGAAAGCTAATGCTAAGCTCATGATGAGCTTACTGGTTCAATCGCATGTCAACAGCTCTGCAGAGCTTACATCTCTTGATACGTAACTCCAAATCTCAGCCTTCGATCTTTATATCCCAGCTGATAATCCAGAGCTGAATCGAGTGCGAAAATTGCTCAAAAAATGCATGAAAAAACCTTCCAGTTTTTTCTTGTTAAAAAATTCTAAGATTATTCGAAAATAATTTTATAAAATAAGCAAAAGTTATTTACAAAATACTTTCACACCAAACTTGCCTCAAGCTAAAGCCAAACTCAGAAAATTAAGGGCCCCAATAGGCCAGTTTGTCACGGGACAGAGTAGAGAAGACGGGATAACCTGATATTTCATAAAAAGAGAAGTCTATAGCTAATTGCAAAGAAATGAACCAAACTTTTATAGTTTGTCTTGCAAAAGAATTGTGAAATACCTTCAGTTACTTACAAACAAAAACGCCATATGATTCCAAAACTTATTAGGTTGATGCACGATTCTTGCACCAAAAAATACAAAAAAATTATTTTAAAAATGCTTAAACAAACTAGTCAACTTGCATATTCTGCTATATGTTATGTGTATCAAAAGTGGTATTTTATAGTACATTTTAGAAAATCAATTTGATACAAAATCGATAAGTCATTTTAAAAAATTCGAAATTCTTAAATATTCGCCGAGACATCCAATCACTACCAACTTCTCTTAGTCAAAAAGAGCATGCCATGAAACTTAGACCAAAAATTAATTCAAATTCTAGTAGACGTTTTAGCAATTTTAGTGACTAAAAATCGAAAAATCACTTTTTAGGAAATTTCTCTTATTCTCCTTGTATCTTTGCCATATGCCCTCAAGGACTTTTGGCTCGAACACCTCAGAAAGCGCGATTTGCTCTTTCTACTATGTATCGAAACAGAAGATTTCATCGCAGCTGGATGAAGTATCAGAATTTTGAAAATTTTGGTGCAAGAATTATGCATTAATCTAATATTCGACCGTTTTTAAGAATTCTCACCTCTCCCACAGTTCTACATTATTACATGAAATCCGCATGATAAAACTCGTATAAACATAAAAGCTAATAGATTTATCGAGATTGAGTGTTTGTTTATATGTTACATGAAAATAAATTAATTACGTCGAAAGCTGATTTCAGCAATACCTCACAAATATACTTCAATTTTGCCATAAATAGATTCCAAATTTGGGATATACTCCTATTGACGAGATGACTGGAACTTGTTTTCAACCTCTGGATGTAGAAGGAGAAAAAAGCAAGTTTCTAAAGAAAGAAGTTTTGTCCGTGGATTGTGCGAGTTTCCATATTTATCTTCAACTAGCAGAAATTCTTCGAAAAAAACAATGCGTTTTCCACAACTACCCTGCTAGAAACAGATTGTAGAGTTTCTGCCTGTTTTTCGGTGGAATATAGTCTAGCAAAAAAAACCTGGGACCCTCCTCAACTCATTGCAGGAAGATAAAATTTGCAAACTGATTCTGGGCATCTGATTCATTTGATTCCCAATAAAAAGTTCAAACTCCATCTCGCTAAGCGCATCTAGCTATTCATGGCAAATAATATAATACAAATTAATTTTACAAATGGATTCAATAGAGGTTCAGTTATCATTTTGAAGTTGATCCAGCCATATCGTATTGTTGGCTCTTCGCTGTACATAGATTAGCAACTCACTACTGCTACTTCCTCAGCCATTGTCTTCCTCTGCACTTGTCACTTTCTTTTCTTTTCTTAACCATGGCAAAAAGATTTTCACAACTCAGTTCCTTTTTCTAGTGCCCCCTACAACAGCATTCTAAATGTGTCACTATAGTTGCACTTCGGTTGTAAGAAAACCTTTTTCTCGTGTGCACAGTTCTTCGCGCATAAAGTAATAGCTTAAGACAAAAATAGTCGAGGACATGGGCAGTCTCAAACTGGAATACCTAGAATCAGGGCTCGGCAGGAGCTGGCAAATTTTAAAACGAAGTCCCCCTTGACTAAAAATTTTGCGAAGTTTCCTTTGACTATCAACCCTAAACGTAAAAACTCTCAAAAATAAAACGAAACGTCGACTAAAAAAACGCCGCAATTTACATGTATTTTTGGCCACGAAAGGATATCTTTGCTTCTTGTCCCAGAAACGATATCCAGCTTGACCCGCCGCTGGGCCGAGCTTGCTTAGAATCCATGCAAAAACTGAAAAATGTTTTGGTATAAACTCAAAACATTGTTAAAGTCGGCTTACATGATTTATAATCAAATATATGCAAACGCACTCAACAAATAATTTATGCGTAAAATGAAGCACTTCATCGATTATGTTTATTTCTACATTTTAATGATCAATAAAAATACTTCATAATTTTGGAGAAGATCTATCGTAGTCACAACAACATGACGGCAATAAGCATATAGTGTGCAATCGCACACAAAGGAACAATTTGGCCAAACTGCTCTCTTTTTCTCAACTTTTCTCAATTCCTCTACTGACTGTCGATAAAAAATTTCTGCCACTACGATATGGACAGAATACAAGAGAAATTGGCTTAATTTGATTGGTGGATCAAACTTAAAATTTCAAAAAAGTCACAGATCCACTTGCAGTTAAACAAACTCTGTAAAAATCCTACTCTAAAATTTTCAAGCGTTTGCAAAGCTACGACTCAACATATCTCATACTTTCCGAAAGAGATAAGCAAATCGTAGTTGTTTTCCCACGTTTTCTTGTAAATAATCAAGAAAACCGTTTTGAAAACAAATTTCTAGTCGGCTTGCTATTCTTTCTATCAACATTGCTTGCGGCTAATATCATTGAGATCGCAGAATTACAAAAAGAAGACTCTCACTGTGTTCTGACGCGTAAACTTTCGCAATTCTTTTGCCATATGTTTGTGTTTGATTTCCGTGCAGGATCTGCTCAAGAACGATCTTTTGCGTTAAAAAGATATGTATCTCTTACATTGTTATGCAAAACATTAATGCAAACACGTTGCGGCCACATAATGAAGGCGGAATTACTTAATTTTTGAAATAAAAAAAGGAATCAAGTTAGGCCGTACGTTTGTAAATATTTGATGATAACATTCTTTCAAACTAGACATGAAATTTACAGCTTAAGTAGCTCTACATAAACTTGTAAAGAATATCAATGGGATAATTTGTGAGGGAAGGGGCATTATGTATAGGTGCCCCATCCCAGAAGACGATTTCAAACTTGAACTGAAGCAGACCATACTGGGTAGAGCAGGGAACCATCTAAGGCAAAGTACCCTTTGATTTAACTGATTGGCGACGAAGGCGGGCTTGGTGACCTAGATGGCGGTAGAGGGTGATCGGAGAGTACGCGTGCGAGAGAGACGCAGACTGCGTTGAGGGCGCGAGCGGCTTTAAACAGGTCACAAAACCCCGCCTTCCAGCTGCCAATCCAGTTGAATTCAAAGGCTAAACTCAGGGCTGAGAATGCCACGCTCTACTGCAACTAGCCTGCTCCAGTTCCAATTCAATATCGTCCATGCCATTAAATCTCGGTATTTTGGCTTACTGTGTGGATGTTAACAGAGGCCCTAATCAATCAATTGCTCAAAAGGAAACCTATTCAGTCATAGTCGAGAAATGCTCTCTTTTCACCCAGACCATACTAGCGGATACTGATTGCACATTTAGAGTACGGTATTGGGCGAAATCTAGAATTGAATTTTTGTGCAATAAATGAAACATATGGGTTAGACACTACTTTACCTATTATTAAAATCCCATTCAATTTCTATATAATAATCTTAAGCGCTTTTAAGTGCCTGGACATTACATTTAGCACTAGGCAAAAATGAGGAAAAGAGGCGTTTTCACTTTCACGTAATTCTAGCACATAGAAAGTAGTAGATTCCAGGTGCTCCAAAAATTAGGTAACTCGCCACAAGCACAGAGTGGACGCGGTTGCGTGTGACTGAGATAGTTCGTGCATGCGAGAGACAGTAGACGGGCAGAGAAATAAAAGTGCGCTCTATCAGTGAGGCGACGACAGCATCCGCAACGACGCCCTGTCTTTGCGCGATAAATGGCTATAATCTTCTTATTACTTCAGTAAAAAGCGATTTTTAGGCTAGCTATCGTACCAAAGATTTTTTATTCATATGACTTTTTTCCTGTTTTGAGTTGAGGGTGAGTTATATACTGTATGCTTGCAAAAACTTTTACTCTTGATACCCTGCGATTTTTAGTGAAGGATCTTTGCTCGCGCGCCTAAGGTTATCCCTCCACCCTATATTCTTATACTTTTGTTGCTTTGCATGACTCATCGTGAGAGAATGCAAAAACTTAGTGACCTCTGAAGTGTTTACCATGGCCGAGAAGTAGCGTGACCTGTAGGGACTGTTAGCTAAGGACGAGTTTTTGTGGCTTGCAGAAGACACCGTTGCTGCTCGTGAATATTTAGTCAGTCGCAAACATCGTAATGAAAGGGCAGAAAGCTTGAGAGCTCGGCGCTTTGATATGTGCGAAAGCTGGAAATATGTGAAAAAGTGTCAAAGGAATACATTTGTACTTGAGTGACCCCAAATTTGAGAAAAAAATGCTTAAAACCTGTACCGAAAATCCTTTACATTGTTTTCAGCTTCACGGATCTGTTGGAACCTCAAAGGTTATGGCGAGAAAA